TAAATAAAAATTTTATGAATAGGTTTTCCATCTTTTTGTCAGGGTTTTCCTCCTTTCTTCTGCTATTCCCACTCACTGGATCTGCAATTCCTAGATTATAATAATATTAGTTTTATCTTAAAGAGTGACTGGTCTCAGCTCTTGGTGATCTTCTACAGATATCCAACTTCTGGTCAGTTTTTGCCTTTCCCCTTTTCTCTTTTTTTCTCAGTGGTCAATGAGAAATCAAAAGGAAGCAATGTGAAGTATTGGATATAGCCCTGGTCTTAGAGTCAGGAAGATTTGGGTTTGAATCCTGCCTCAGGCAGTTAGTGATTGTATAATCCTAGGCAAGTCTCTCAATTACTTTGAGCCTATTACAAATCCTCATTTGCAGGGGCAGCTAGATGGTGCAGCAGATAGAGGACAGACTCTGGAGTCAGGAGGACCTGAGTTCAAATCCGGCCTCAGACACTTGACACTTACTAGCTATGTGACCCTGAACAAGTCACTTAACCCCATTGCCTAGAAAAAACAAACAAACAAAAAACAAATCCTTATTTGTAAAAGAGCATAATAGGGTTGTTACCAGGAACAAATGAGATAATGTGACTCTCAAAGGGTATATGGGGGAAGAGGTCACATCAGTCAGTCAGCAAACATTTATTAAGCACCTACTATGTGTCAGGCACTGTGCTAAGTGCTGAGGATACAGAGAAAGGCAAAAACAGTCCCTAAGGAGCACACAGCCTAATGGGGAGACAACATCAAACGACTATGTAAAAACAAGATATAGACAGGATGAATTGGAGATAATCCAAGGAGGGAAGGCACTAGACTTAAGGAGGAATGGGAATGACTTCCTTTGTTTATTTATTTTTTTTAGGCAATTGGGGTTAAGTGACTTGCCCAGGGTCACACAGCTAGTAAGTGTCAAGTGTTTGGTCTGAGGTTGGATTTGAACTCAGGTCCTCCTGACTTCAGGGCCAGTGTTCTATCCACCTAGCTGCCCCCTCAAATGACTTCCTTTAAAAGAAGGTGGGATTTTAGCTGAGACTTGAAGGAAGCCAGGAGGTAGAGATGACGAGGGAGAACATTCCAGGTGTGAGGGGGTCGCCCGTGAAAACTCCCAGTGCTCTGTGAATTGCACAGAACTTACACTTGCAATCTCTTATGAATACAGCAGCATCCTGGGAAATGTATATAACACACACTTGAAATTCCATGCAAAATCTCCCAATTCTGCTCTTCCTCACACTAAAAAATACCTTGATATAAACAAAAATTTTGAGAAACACTGCAGTAATATATGCAAAAGTACTTTGCAAACTTTAAAATGCTATATAAATATGAGTTATTATTTATTCCCTGCCTGTCTCAGCACCTCCTGTCATAATAAAACCATGTGCATTTATAAAAAAGGAATTTTAAAAGCTGCCTTGTTGCATTCTAGGCAGCTGCCAACTCCCCTACCCCAAGCCTGGCACTTTACCTAAGCCCCTGAACTATCCCTCTGTGCCAGACCCAACAGTCAAACCATGTTGACTCCTAATTAGACGGAGAGGGTCAGGAGCAGGAGCTGTTGGCTACTGTTGGCAGCCTGGAGCTGGCCCCAAAAGTGCACCTCAGGCTGGCATTTTCTGGGCATGGCTCTGCTTGCCTATTCTTGGAGAGGCTGTAAATTATTATATGGAAGCTTATCTGCCCTCGATTTGGCTCAGGCTTTTCTTCCTGAAGTCCACCCTCAGCCTTCTGGGCAATGAAGCATTACTTCTTCCAGTGAACACAGAGTCACTAACCAGGGCCTACATTCTTAGACATGCCCAGGATGTCTACATGCATACAAGCTCATGTTGTGCAGATAAGCATAAGAGGACATTTTCAGGAATGCAATATAACACAATAAATATTTTTAAAAGTACCTACTATGTGCCAGGCACTGTGCTTAGTACTGAGGACACAAATAAGAAAAAAGAAGACAGTCCCTGCCCTCAAGGAGCTTATATTCTAATGGGGGAAGACAAAGCACAAAAGGGAACTAGAAAGTGGGGGAGGGACAATGTACCCAGTATGGGGGCTTGATGATAGTGGAGAGGCATCCGAAGAGTTCAGCCAGTGGGACATGAAGAGTTTGCTGGGCTTCTGAGCCCTCTTTATATGAAGGCTTTAGGTGCTGAGTACCAAAGCAATCTTTTTTTTTTTTTTAGGCAATTGGGGTTAAGTGACTTGCCCAGGGTCACACAGCTAGTAAGTGTCAAGTGTTTGGTCTGAGGTCAGATTTGAATGAGGTCCTCCTGACTTTAGGGACGGTGCCCTAACCACTGTGCCACCTAGTTGCCCCAAAAGCAATCTTTCTGATAAGCTTTTTCCTTTTGCTTTTTGGTGAGGCAATTGGGATTAAGTGACTTGGCCAGGGTCACAGAGCTAGTAAGTGTTAAGTGTCAAGTGTCTGAGGTCACGTTTGAATTCAGGTCCTCCTGACTCTAAGACTGGAGCTCTATCCGCTCCGCCACCTAGCTGCCCCTTTCTGATAAGTTTTGATGAGGAATGTGTCTCTGGATCATGGGCACAATCTTAGCTAGGGTGTGTGTGTGTCTGTGTCTGTGTGTGTGAAAGAAAGAGAGACTCATACATACTCACACATATATATCACATATACAACACATGTCCTACATAAATATATGTGTCCTATATAAACATGTGATATACATTGCATATAAATATATTTGTCATATATAAATATATGTGAGTTACATTTATATATATATATCATATCTATATGGCAGGAGGGGGAATACTCTTATTCCCCATATGCGGCTTGACACTCTTCCCCACAGTGGTTCAGAGACTGCCAGTCCTGTGTCTTCGAGGACTTTGCCGGTTCTCTACTAACCTAAACGTCCAAAAGGTTAGAGGAGAAGATGGACCTCTGGAAAGGGAGAGGGAGTAGAGTCCTAGACCAGTGGAGGTCAGGGGATAGGAAAGAAGGTGCAGTGTGAGACTTCACCCAAGGTCTGACTGTCTCTCTCAGGGTCTGCCTCTGACGCTGTCTCTTACCTACCCCCTCTCCCAACTTCCCATTCAATGGAATCTGTCCCAGGTGCTGAAATTCCTGACTCAAATCTGGTCACGTGGATACGTAATTTGTTGGAGGGATATGTTGACTATGTGTATCTCAAAACATCTCTACATGCGTCTCTTCCCAAGTCTGTTCCATGTGTTTATGCATTTCTGTTAGTATCTGTGCATGTACGTGTCTCTGAGCATGTCTCTAAATGTATGTCTAAGTAGGGATGCCCGTGGAAATGTTTGCAGGTGCGTGTGTCTCTGAATATTCCTCCCTGCGTGTGAATCTCTGGATATCTCTGAGCCACTTATATACCTATGTATATCTAGGGGAGAGTGTATGTGTGTGTGCAAATACACTATCCTTTCCTGGAGAGGATACCATTTATCAGGCAGAAGGGAAGGCGATAATCCCAATGTCTGCTATTCATCTGAGGTGTGTATCACAGAATAATAGAATTAGGTGGGGCTTTAGAACGCAGAGTGCCAGAGCCTAGAACAGGGACGTCAAAGCCGGGAGAGGTCTTAGAACACAGAGCACCAGAGCCTAGAACAGGAACGTCAGAGCTAGGAGGAACTCTGAAAGCCATCCATTCCAGTCCCCTCCTTTATCCTCATTGACTCAAGAGCCAGTGCCTGTGGTTTGAAACCAGGCTGGTCTAAAGGCAGAACCCTGAAGTCACCCAGGGAGATGTGGCCTCCTCCTTCTCCAGGCTTTAGCACCCTGGTCCCTGATCCCTGCCCTCCCCCTTCTCTTCCTGAGGGAAACATCATGTGTGGTCTTCTTGTCTGGACTGTAATTTCCAAGGGCAGCATTTCTCAAACTAATTTGGCCACAAGAAATTCTTGGACTTGAAATCTATTGATGGAATCCGTGAAAGCTAGTTAGGAGGGGCTGAGAGAATGAAATACCCAGCCATAGAGAAAAGCTAGGAAAATGTTGGAACAAATTAAGTGAAATGTAAGCCTATTTTCATGCCAAAAAATGTTGCCACATATAATAAATATATTTGATCCATGTATAATTTGTTCTAGGAGAAGATTTTGATGCTAGTGATATTTTCCCTTCTGAAGAAAATATCATGGTAGCCCTGTTGGCCTTGGAGTCAGAAAGAACTGAGTTCAAACCCTGACTCAGAGATGTATTAGCTGTGTGACCCTGAGTAAGTCACTTAACCTCTGTTTGAGTTTCCTCATCTGTAAAATGGGAAAATAATTGCACCTACCTCCCAGGGTTGATGTGAAGATCAAATGAAATAACATGTAAAGCATTTGGCAAGCCTTCAGGTGTTATACAAATGCTAGCTTTAATTATCTCTCCAAAAGGGAAAATATCACTAGCATGAAAAATTTCTCACAGGCCCACATACTCACATTGCCCCAAACCTCCAGGGTTCAGAGGAACATTTGGAAAGTTTGTTGGATTCCCTCACAGCGACAACTCTCAGAGGTAGGTGCTATTATTATTCTCATTTTACAGTTGAGGAAACTGAGGCAAACAGTGGTTAAGTGACTTGCCCCTGGTCACACAGTAAGTGTCTGAGGCTAGATTTGAACTCTGGAAGATGAGTCTTCCTGACTCCAGGACTGGTGCTCTGTGCACTATGGCACCACCCATAAGTACAGCTGGATGCCCGCTGTCAGGTAGATTATAGAGGGAATTCTATTTTGTATATGGGGTTTGACCACATTCCCGCTGACGTCCTTTCCAACTCAGAAATTTTGTGATTCTGCAGAGAGCTGACTTCTAGAATGCTGTCCAACTCAAGGGTCTAATATATGTGCATTTGTACGGTAGTAGACTGGACAGCAGTGACCGCTTCTTCTCCAGGTTGCAGACTGCCTGCCTCCCCCTCTTTTATGAACCCGCCGGGCCAAAGCCAAACTTGATGTGACCCAGAGCACCCAGTGGGATTCCTTGCTGCTGCTCCTGAATGATTCTTCTTACCCTCTAGGTCCGGGAACTGAATGATGTGGAATTTCCTCACTCTTTCTTGGTGTCCGGGAAACAGAGGACCCTGGAACTACAAGCCCAGTAAGGCATCTTGAGTGTACCCTACAAGGCACAGGGGTGGGGAGCAGACAGGACACCTGTGGGGTCGGATGAGGGTGGTCATGGGGAGATGGAGCCTGACTCTCCTTAATGGATATGTCCTATTTTGGGGCAGGTCTCAGGAAGAAATGAACAGCTGGATCCAGGTAACCTCACCCTCACTCAGCCTGGGAGGTGGGGAGTGGGGAGGGGAAGGCGGTCACAGCTTCAGTAGAGAGAACCCCTTTCCAGCTTTTCTATCCTGCCATCCCCAACTCACAAACATGCCCACAGATCACTTCTCCCAAGACCTTGTTCTCCCTCTGCCAAGTGAATTGAGCTGAAGTCCCAACCCCCTTCCATTTGTCAGGGTCACCCACCCAGGGACAACCTGCTAAATGAGGGAGATGGGCGTTTTCAGTCATTTAATCAGTGTGTAGCTCCTTCAACCGAAAACGATCTCTCCTTTGCCCATTACGTTCTGCCTTGTATCATCTTTATTTATGCACGTGTCCGTGCATTTTGTTTCCCCGGCTAGATCATGATTCGCTTTAGGGCAGACACAAATTCATTTTCATGCGTGAATCCACTATGCTTAGCACATAGTAGGTGGTTAGTAAATACTTGCTGATTCATTGATGTCATTGCCACCACCAGCACCATAGAATGGTAGACACCTTGAGGGCAGGAACTGTGCCATTTTTTATCTTTACATACCCGATGTCCCACATATGATGGGTGCTTAATAAATGCTTGTTGAATTGAATGTGTGGAGAGCCTACGGTGCACCATAATCAGGTACTGAGGAAGAGAGAAAAATAAATATGAGAAAAAATCCTTGCCTTCAAGGGACTTCATGTTTAACTAGGAAGATATGGCGTAGGCACATCAACTTATCAGAAAGCATTTATTAAGCTCCTACTACATGCCAGGTACTGTAGTAGGCTCTAATGATACAAATACAAAGAATAATTAAGTCTCTGCCCTCAAGGAGCATACAGTCTATCAGGAAAGATAACAACACTCTAAGTACTAACTAGAAAGACATGGCACAGACACATCAATCAATCCATCAATAATAATTTACTAAGCCCCTACTATGTGCCAGATACTGTAGTAGGCCATAATGATACAAATACAAAGAATAATTAAGTTCCTGCCTTCAAGGAGCATATACTCTATCAGGAAGTGTAACAATAGTATAATTACTAACTAGAGAGATATGGCACGGATGCATCAATCAGTAATAATTTATTAAGGCCACACTGTGTGCCAGCTAGATGATGCAGTAGATAGAGCGCCAGGCCTGGAGTCAGGAAGACTCATCTTCCTGAGTTCAAATCTGGCCTCAGACACTTCTTAGCTGTGTGACCTTGGGCAAGTCACTTACCTTGTTTGCCTCAGTTTCCTCATCTGTAAAATGACCTGGAGAAGGAAATGGCAAACCACTTCAGTATCTTTGCCAAGAAAACCCCTAAATGGAGTCATGAAGAGTAGGACACGACTGAAAAATGACTAAACAACAACACTGTGCTAGATATATACTAGTTACTGTGGATACAAATACAAAGAATTATAAAGTCCCTGCCCTCAGGGAGCATATATTCTATCAGAAAAGATAACTAACAGTATAAACAGAGCATGATAAATGCCCAGTGGCATTATTATGTTATGATGATGATGATGATGATGATGATGATGTCCCAATGGGACATAAACACTATAGGAGTCAGCTGGGGTGATCAAGGAAGGCTTCTTGGAGGAGGTGACTTGAGATGGACCTTGAATGATAGGGCAGATTTAAATAGGCTAAAAGAAATGGGAGGAGCCTTTGAGGCTTCCTTTATCTCCTGTCTGGAACTAACCCAGCCCTGCTTTGGGGGGTGGGTGTTGAGGTGTGACCTTCCTTCCCACTTGGAGGTGTTTATGCTCAGCCCCTGCCTGTGACCCAGGGTAGACACTAGCTAGTGAATTCATCTTCTTTCAGGTCATTGGAATTCCCCAGGTTACTGTGTGGCTGTGAGAGATCTGCGGGGAGGCCCAGCGTCCTTGGATATGGGGAACTGGTCACTTCAATTACTGTATCATTCTTCCTGTTCCCAGGCTTGCCAGAGGGCCATTGACCAAATTGGGAAGAGGCACGAAACCTTCAAAGCCGCGGTCCAGGGGCCTGAGGGAGACACAGAGGAGCACCAGGTAAATTGCACTGAGCCTTGCCCCTCCCCACAAAGAATACCCCCTGTTTCTCCGCTGTAGCCAGGCCTGCCCGGTGTCCCACATATGATGGGTGCTTAATAAACGCTTGTTGAATGGAATGTGCTGAGAGCCTACAATGCACCATAATCAGGTACTGAGGGAAGAGAGAAAAACAAATATGAGGAAAAGTCCTTGCCTTCAAGGGACTCAATGTTTAACTAAGAAGATATGGCGTCACCTGTGCAGTGTAGGAGGTTCTACACTCCTGCTCCCCCCACCTCCAAAAAAAAATCTTCCTTGCATCTGAAATTTCATGTTTCCAATTTATTTCTTAATATAATTTTTTTTCCAATTTATTTCTTTGGCATCTTCTCCCTGCAAATAAATTCTGAATGAGAGAGCCCATTCCAGTGAGGAGTTAGTGAAAGAGCAGAGCTGTGCAGGATAACAGCGAGAAAAACACTGAATGAGGCAGCTAGGTAGTGCAGCGGTTAGAGCGTGGGACCTAGAGTCAGAAAGGCCTGAGTTCAAATCCGGCCTTAGACACTTGCTAGGTGAGATGACAAGTCACTTCAGATAAGCTTCCTTATCTGTAAAGTAGGGATGGGGCCACTAGGTGGCGCCATAGTACACAGAGTGCTGGGCCTGGAGTCAGGAAGACTCATCTTCCTGAGTTCAAATCTGACCCAGACGCTTACTAGCTGTGTGACCCTGGGCAAGTCACTTCACCCTGTTTGTCTCAGTTTCCTCATCTGCATCTCTGCCAAGAAAACCCCAAATGAGGTCACCAAGTGTAGAACATGACTGACATGACTAAGCAACAAAAGTAGGGATAATAAAATGAGATAGTATTTGTAAAGTGCTTTGTAAACCTTAAAGCATGATGTAAATGCTAGTTCTAATAATAATAATAGTTGTTATTGTTAAGTTTGAAGACCTAGATTCGATTCCCAGACTCACTATTCACTTCTGTGACCTTGGGCAAATCATTTCCCTTCCCTGAGGCTCAGTTTCCTCATCTGTAAAATGGGGCAGAGGGGTCAAATGAAATAATCATAAGGTACCTCATAAGATCTATAACAGAAGTTTTTTTCTTTATTAATGTATTTTAATTTATCAACAATCACTTCCACAAGCTTTTGAGTTTTAAATTTTTCTTCCCCTCTCCCATCTCCCTCCCCAAGACAGCACGCAATCTGATATAGGCTCTACATTATTAAACATATTTTCACATTAGTGATGTTGTAAGTAAGAATTAGAACCAATAGGAGGGACCACCAGAAAGAGAAAACAAAACAAAACAGAAGAAAAAAATAGCAAATAGTATGCTTCGATCTGCATTCAAACTCCACAGTTCTTTCTCTGGATGTGGACAGCATTTTCCATCATGAGTCTTTTGGAATTGTCTTAGATTGTTGCATTGCTGAGAGGAGCTAAGTCTATCAAAGCTGGTCATCACACAATGTGGCTGTTACTGTGTACAATGTTCTCCTGGTTCTGCTCACTTTGCTCAGCATCAGTTCATATAACTCTTTCCAGGTTTTTCTGAAATCTGCCTGCTCATCTTTTCTTATAGCACAATAGTATTCCATTACATTCATATACCACAACTTGTTCAGCCATTTCCCAATTGATGGGCATCCCCTCAATTTCCAATTCTTTGCCACTATAGCAGAAGTTCTTAACCTGGGTGATGGTGGTGAACTTTCTTTTTGTTTTAGTACTTTGATAATCATTTCAATATAATTTATTTCCTTTGCAATCTTACCTATTTTATTTTATGCATTTAAAAACATTATTCAGAGAAAGGAGTCCATAAGCTTCAGCAAACTGCCAAAGAGACCCAGGGCACCCCAAAGTTTAAGAACTCCTGCTCTAAAGTATATGGATGCGGGGGTGGGGAACAATGACTGGCCCAAGGGGTGCTGGGGGGGGAGGGGAGATCAGCTATAAAGGAAGACAGGGCACAGGAAGGGGAAGAGAGGGACATTGAGGAGAAACTGTCTGCTATGTGGCTGCAGCCCCAAGGGGGCTTGGCTGAGGAAGGAACTCTGGGGAGAGGGCAGCTGTCTGGGGGTGGTGTGAAGCTAGGAAGCCCCAGCCAAAGGGATGGAAAAGGAAGGCTAAAGACGGAGGGTGAAGGAAGGGAGTGAGCAAGACGGCATCTGGGAAAAAGACAGTGTGCTCCAGGGGACGGAGCCCTAGGCTGGGAGCCTGGACGCCTTGGGTTCTCATCCTGGCTTTGCTACTAAATTGTGTGATGTGACCAGGGGCAAGTCACTTTCCCTCTATGGTTCTCAGTTTCCTCATTTGTCAAGGGGAAATGATATTAATGCCTCAGAGTTGCTCTAAGTCTTAGTATTTCAGATAGAGTCTGGGAAAATATGAAGTGATAAATAGTTGCAGAGATGGAAGATGAGCGAAGGGAAGAGGGCCAAGAAGTTTCTAAGTCTCCACCCCTCTGCTCAGCTGAAGTCTGAAGAGCTGGGCATCAGAGCTCCCCAGTGGGTCCGTGACAAGATGGTGACCATGTGCATGCGCTGTAAGACGCCCTTCAATGCCCTCACCCGAAGACGGCACCACTGCAGGGCATGCGGCTATGTGAGCACCTCTCCTCCCTCTTCCCTTTCCTTATCTTCATCACCTTCCTCCCTCCCTCACCTATCCCTCCCCTTTCTCAACAGTCTGTCTCTTTCAGTCAATCAACAAACATTTATTGAGAGCTTATTTGCCATGTGTTCAGCACTGTGGTAGGCACTGAGAGGAATGCACAAAGTCATAACTAGGGTAGGACCATAAGGGCTTTGTCCCAAGTCATTGAAATTTAGATGGCACAAAAACTGAACGCATGTAGTTCAGCAGTTAGAAGTGACTATAGTTGTTAATTCGTCTCTCCCATTCAACCAAATATATCTTAATTATATTATTTTTAAATCATGAATTACAAAATTGATTTCCATAATGTTTTGTGCTACTTTCCACAGGCGAGAGGGCATTTGTGTTTCTTGCCTGGCACATAGTAAGCTCTTAATAAACACATTGACTTGATTTAGGTTTTTGTCCCAAGGAGCCAAAATTGCTGCTTATAGCACTTGGGGACATAAAAGTAGTACACATGGTCCTAGCCCTGTTTCCTCCCCTTTCTTTTCTTCTATTCTTTCTATCCTTTGCTGGCTTCTTTTCTCTTCATTATCCTTGACTATTCTTCTCCTGGGACTCAGTCCCAAGGCTCCTGATCTTCTTTCTCTGCGCTCACTCTTTGGGGACTTCATTCATTTTATGGCTTCAATTATTGCCAAAGGTTGTAACTACAATGACACATTTATTGATATTGCCCCCTTTTTTGGGAGAGGGGATGCAGACTTCAGCTAGAAGTGACTTACATGGAAGCAATGCCCATCAGCCCTGTTCCTGGGCTAGGAAGCTGTGTCACCATAGGTGTTGGCAACTTGGACAGAGCCCCAGCTGCCCCCCCCTTAGCTCTGTACTTTGAAGAGCGCAATGAGGGCAGTAAATATTATTGATTGATAGCCACCATTTTGTTTCCCTCTGCCTATCCTTCCTCTTCTTGCTCTCTTTCTTTCACTGCCCCCAATTCATAGACACATATACCCATCTAGTCTCAGGCCAGGCCAGTGCTTGCATTACCCCTGACCCCAGTTTTCCTGCAGGTGGTGTGTGCTAAGTGCTCTGATTACAGAGCTAGGTTGAAATACGACGACAATCGGCTCAACCGGGTCTGCCTCGAGTGTTACGTCTTCCTCACCGGAAACCTCCTGCCAGACGACAAGGAAGATAAGAAGAAAGGGATCCTGGAGGTGAGGAAGGGATGTGGACGCCCTCCAGTGCTACACTGTCCATTTCTCCCCTCCATTGTTCCCGGCCTCCATCTTCTGGCACATCTTCCACCTGTCTATTAACACCCACCCCTCCACTTCCCTCTCTCTGTCCTAGCCACAACAGACACCATTTTCAGACCAGATAAACATTACCACCATGGGAATGGATCCAAACTAAGCCCATCCCTTTTTCCTGCTCTTAGATTGGGATTCTCTGCCTACTCTATCTCTGGGCAGCTAGGTCCAGGCCTGGAGTCAGGAAGACCTGAGTTCAAATCTGATCTCAGACACTTACCAGCTCTGTGACCCTGGGTAAGTCACTTAACCCTGTTTGCCTCAGTTTCCTCATCTGTAAAATGACCTGGAGAAGGAAATGGCAAACCACTCTAGTATCTTTGCAAAGGAAACTCCAAATGGGATCATGAAGAGTCAGACACGACTGAACAGCAACACTCTATCTCTGTGTTCAAGGGAATTCTGAGCTTCACTACCCTGGGCTTCCTTTGTCTCATTCTTCAAAAAATTCTGAGGGTCTTCCACTCCCAAACTGATTCTTTTATGAAGGCAAACTAGGCCCTCTTTTGCCTCAGTTCTTGCCTAGCCTTTAGCTATTGAATGGGTGTTGCCTCAGACAAACTGAGACCTGGGAAAGACCTTAGCTTAAAGAGGCCAAGGTCTCCCCCTGCATCCGGGGCTATTGCCTGTCATCCTGACCTACGTCTTACCATTGGACTTCCATGACTCTGGAGGAGAGAGTGAGGCTGACAGCTCTTGCACAGCCCTGCCTCACTTAAATCCAGCTCACTTGCAAGTCAAGACATCACCCTCCTGATGTCATTGGCCTCTTCAAGAAGAAGGACAAACAACAATCTTCAGAACTCCACCCCAGCTCCCTGGCCCCAGCACTCGCCCTAGTTTAGAGCTTGCATTAGGGAGACTCAGAGTCCACTCCGGGACTCATCTCTCTAGAGCCCAGAATGTATCTAGACTCAGAGAATTTTTGAGTTGTCAGGGGCCTTACAGGTCAATTCAGAAACCAGGGCCCATGTTTTCAGATAATCCGGAACAAAATAGAATTTTAGTTTCTGGTTGGCTTTACTCTTGATTTGACTTAGAATAAAAGAAAAAAGGAGGCACACCACCCCAGTGCACACATTCCACCCCTGATGTAAACTTGCAAAGACAGAACTGATGGACCCTTGCCCACATTAAGAGGAACTGAATAAGTCAAACCAAACCTGAGTTCTTATGCCCCTCGGACTTCCCTGACTCCCCACGTGGCTGTTTTCTTCTCTCTCTCTTCCTTCTTACCTTCCTTCCTTCCTCCCTCCTTTTCTTTTTCTTTCTCCCTCTCTGTCTCTCTCTGTCTTCTTTCTGTCTGTTCCTTCCTTTCTTCTTTCCTTCCAAGAGAGTAAACAATTTCCCCACAGTTGCTCATATTCAAACTCAAGTCTCTCCTGACTCTGAATCCAACCAATGCCCCATACTACCATGTTGTCATCCCTGCCCCAGCCCCTACCTCTTCCCTTCCTCTACCTGACCCTTGTGTCCTGGATGCTCCAGTTTGCTAATGTTCTCCATTGCATCCTGACTGTGGCCTGGAGTCTTCTGTCACTTTTCCTCCAGTATCTTGTCATCTCTACCCAATCCCATGAATGCAAGGCTGCCCTGGTGTTCAATTCTTTTTTTTTTTTTTTTTTTTTTTAGGCAACTGGGGTTAAGCCCAGGGTCACACAGCTAGTAAGTGTCAAGTGTTTGGTCTGAGGCTGGATTTGAACTCAGGTCCTCCTGACCTCAGGGCTGATGCTCTATCCACTGCACCACCTAGCTGCCCCATGGTGTTCAATTCTTGTTGCCCCAATGTAGGTATCCCAGCAATAATGATAAAGGTAGCACATATGTACACACATTACAACGCAATTCAACATTTATTAAGTGTTTCCTGTGTTCCTAAGGTGATATGCTAGCCACTTAAGGAGATACAGACCTAATTCAAGAAGCTTACAGTCTAACTGGGGGCAGAGAGCTACAACACAAACAAATATGTGGTGAGGTTGAGTGGGAAGGGGGCAAAGGAGTGATTCAAGGTGTTTTAACCCCTCCTGGTATACCTTCCAGCCTCACCTACCTCCTTCTTCAAGACTCCCCTGTCCCACTGTCCAGTGGGAACAGAGAAGGCTGGAGGCATGTGGTCTAGATCTGCCCCCTCTGCTATTGTCAGCTCTCCATATTGCTAATGGCAAAGTATTCTCCCAACCTCCAGGGATGGGTATTGTGGTCTAGTGTAATAGACAAATATCCATCTGGGAGTTAGGAAGATCTGGGTTCGAGTGCCGATAAATACTGGTTTATGACCCTCTAAGCCTGGGCAAATCAGTTAACCTCCCAGTGGCCCTACTCCTTCACTGCCCCGTCTGAAAATTCTCTAAAGCTATAAGTTTCAGAGCAGCAGCTGATCTGTCAGTCAGTCAGCTCTCATTTATGAAGCACCTACTATGTGTCAGCACTGTGCTAAGTGCTAGAGATACCAAGATCAAAAAACAATCCCTGCTCTCAAGGAACTCACAGGCTAATGAACTAGTACTGGTGTGTCCACCGGGGACAGGGAACCTCCTATCTGAATTGAAAGCTCAGATCTGGACCCCAAACTTCTCCAGAGCACGGGAGCAACTAAGGCTCTGGGAGGAGGGGTGTTCCGTGTGTCTTCTCCCTCTCCTCCACCAGGGGGCTCCACTAGGAGGGCATTGGTCTGGATAGTGCTACATTGTTAAGGCAAAGAGTGGAAACAGCATCCCTGGGGCTCAGGAATCTTCTCTGGGACACAGGGTACCCCAGGTTTTCTCCTGCCACGAGCACGTGCCCAGTGGCACCTCCACACAGTTGCACACATGCACACTCACGTACTTGAACGCCCGTTTGGAATGCCTTTGCTCCCCCTTTCTACCTCTCCAAATCTTGCCTCCATTGCAAAGCTCACCTCCTCCATGAAGCTTTCCCAGATTGATCCTGCCCACTCAGATCTCTTCCCTCCTCCCGGCTCATATAATCACACCTGGAAGGCACCTTTCAAGACCCTCCTTTTACAGGGAAGGAAATTGAGGAGAAGGTTATTGGTTTCCAATTCCTCCTAGCTCTTTGGGGGGATTGTTTCACACAAACTGATGGGTGTCCCTGTGCATTTCCCAGAAAGAGTCTTCGAAGGTATCGGAACAGAGCCTAATGTGCAGCTTCCTGCAGCTCCTGGGAGACAAGTGGGGGAAGGGCAGTAGCCGAGGCTGGTGTGTCATCCCCAGAGATGACCCCCTGGTGCTTTACATCTATGCTGCCCCACAGGTAATCCCCACCATCAGTAGCCCTTTCTGCCTCTCCCAGAGCCCACCTTCACATTTGCTATCTCCAGCTGTTACAAGAGAAGTAAGCAATAAAGGTATCATCTCTCTCTTTTTTTTTTTATGGGGGGGGAGAAACCAGGTGACTTGCCCAAGGTCACAGAGCAAGTCAGTGATGCAACCAAGATTTGAACCCAAGTCTCCTGACTTGTAGTACAGTGTTCATGCTTCAGGTAGCGATTACTTTTCCCTTTTTCCTTGACACCCACGCCCATGCCTCTTGAAGGGTCCTAATCCTGTCACTCTGTAAGGAGGAAGGGTACTCCTAAACAGGATAAAATTGACCATTATCAATTTTCCTTTCCTTTCCTCCTTTCTTCTCTCCTTCTCTTTCCTTCTCTCCTTCCCTCCCTCTTTTTTACCCCACTTTCTGCCTTCTTGACTTCCCAGGATATGAAAGCTCACACCTCCATTCCCCTGCTGGGGTACCAGGTGACCAGTGGACCCCTGGCCGATCCCCGAGCATTCCAGCTCCAACAATCTGGTCTGGTCTACTCATTCAGGGCTGAATCTGAGGACCTAAAGGGGCAGTGGATGAAGGCCATAGATCGGGCAGCCAGAGGTCCGAGCTTCACCAGAGCAGAGGGTGAACTGTCAGACTGAACTGGGGTGAGGGGAGCTGCATCTTCTTTACCTCTGAACACACACATACACACACACACACACACACACGCCTGCTGATAGGCTACTCCTTCCTTTGAGGTAGAATTATTTTCATCCTCTCCTCTATTAATTCTCATCTCTCTGAATGAAAACAGATGGGACCCCAGAAATGAAACCCTGCATTTAGTCACTATAAATAAGGAAGCTTGTATATCTGTGTTGCTATCCTCTGTGGGAAATGAGAGACTCAGAGGGATGACCCTTTGCTGAAGGGCACCCAGGATGAGGGTGACCTCAAGGCTAGAAATAAAAACAACAGAAAAAGAAATAGCAAGATGGAGGAGGAGGGTCAGAGAGAAGAGGAGCCAGGGGAGGGGGGGTGTAGTGGAAAGAGTTGAACTTCAAGTTGCAGGAGCTGCCTGAAGTTACAGGATCTGCATTCAAATGAGGTTCTCCCACTTACTACCTGTGTGACCTTGGGCAAGTTACTTGGCTTCCCTGGGTCTCAGTTTCCTCACCTGTAAAAATGAGGAGGTTGGACCAGGTGAACTGTAAGGTCCCTTCCAGCTCTAAATCTCTGATCCTGTGATAGAAAGAAAGGGAGGAAGGAAGAAGAAGGGAAGGAGAAAGAGAAGAGGAATGATGGAGGGAAAAGAAGGAAGAGTTAGGTTTAGGGGTAGAGTTTAGAGTTAGGGTTAGGGTTAGTGGGGAGAAGAGAATAAAGAGGGAGAGAGTTGAATTGAGCCCAATATCCCTGGGGGACAGACCCCTCTAGTCAACCCGTCATTTTAATGATGCTGGGACACAGGTGACTGCCAGAGGATGGCAGTGTACCAGGAAAGCCATTTGCATGGCCCCTCGGTCCCTCAGGATGGAAAAGGGGCGTGTTGCATGAAGGCGATGACCCAGGATGATAGGCACTTTTCAAGGTGGCTTGGAAGAAGGATGGTGGGTCATGGTGGGTCATGTTGAGGAAAGGGCCCTGTGCTTGAAAATGGAAGGGGTGAGTCCAAGAAAGAGGAGCGGGCTGCCCCAGGTGACCTCCCACCCGCTTCACATTCTGCCCCAGTGTATCCCACCCCCAACCTCCACTCCACTTCTCATGCCAGATCTTTCCCTAGTCCTGGCTTCCCCAGCTCCGGCACAATCCGCGTTCAACTCTCCAAGCCCGCCACAGAACAGGCAGCTGAGATACAAACCCCAACGCCAGACCCCCGGACAACTGGCCCTGCATACTGTGCCTCAGATAATGCCCTGCAATGGAGCTCCCCAGGGACCTCTCTCCTCCCTCTCCCAGAAGCAGAGCGAGGAGCGCTTGGCATGGAAGGGTCAGGCAGCGGCTAAAACACACCACGTCCACGAGAGGGCGGGCCACCACCACGGAGCACATCCCCTCACATCGTCCTCTGCTTTAGAATCACAGAATGCCTCCTTCTTCGTTTTATACACATAAACTCCTTTGCCTAGAGGAGACCGGTGGACTCCCTCCGAGAGGGTGCTTGAGCAACAAACAGCAATAATAGATAACATTTATGTGGCGTCTTTACATTTGATCCTCCTAATAAGTCTGTGAGGTAGGGGCTATTATTAGCTCCCCCATTTTACAGATTAGGAAACTGAGGCTAAGAGTGGTTAACTGACTTGCACCAGGTCATATAGCTAATAAATTTCTGAAACAGGATTTGAACTCAGGTCTTCCTGACTGACCTTCTATCCACCATCTCTCTCTGTCTCTCTCCATATATATGAATATGTATATATGCATATATGTGTGTTGCATATACAGATATACACATGTACTCATGTTATATTTGCATGTACATGTGTATACACATATGTGTTTACATATATATACACGCTCATATGTGAGTGTATATATTTGTGCTTTATAGCATACACATACATGCAATTATCTATATACATATATATGTATGTATGTCTCCATATGTGTATGTGTGCATGTATCCCTTCCCCAACCCTTTTTGTCCAATGAGTGGGCACCAACAGAACATAATGGCAGTAAGGCACACACGCAGACAACATATGTGGCCAAGACAACTTCCAGCTGCCAATCTGCAAGGCCTCCATGCCTTTTTTGTTTTTTTGGCTAGGCAATGGGGTTAAGTGACTTGCCCAGGGTCACACAGCTAGTGAGTGCTTTGTGTCTGAGGCCATATTTGAACTCAGGTCCTCCTGAGTCCAGGGCCGTCACTCTATGCACTGCACCACCTAGCTGCCCCTCGATGCCCTTTTTTCTCACCAGTGAGCATGGCACCTTCCTGGAGGGGCTTCTCAGCGAGGCTTGCTCCTCACCCGGCACGATGTCTCTGTTAGCCGAATCAATCTGATAGAGCCCTTGGGCTCACTTTTCAATGGGCGGCAGTGTTGTTTGGAGAATGACTGAGACTGATTGGGAGAGCGGGAGAGACAGTCATTGTCCTCTCCCGTCTCCTATACCCACCCCAGAATCACATCCCCACTATGCAGGAGTGAGGAATTCCTGGGGGACAAGTTGGGGGGTGGGGAGAAGGATCAAGAGCTTGGTGTTTACTTATTCTTTAGATTGTTAATTAGGAAATGCAGGAAGGTCTAGCAAATAGAGGGTCTGCCTTGGAGTCAGGAAAAACCTGGATTCAAGGCCCATCTCTGACACGTTCTGTGTGACCCTGGATGAATCCCTCGTCCTCATAGGCAGTGTGGTTGGACCTGTCACCTCAGCTGCTCGGCGTATTACCAAATACTCCTTCCAGACTCCGGGAAGAAGCAAGGGGAATGTGGTAGATAAAGAGTCTGGAAGAACTGATACATGGGCTGGGTGCCCCTGCCCACCTGCCACCTCTCTGTGCCCTTGGGCCATTCTCTGAGGCTAGAAATTGCAGAGCAGATATCAAACCTGCACGGCTTCCTCATGGGAAGTTCCCTATACCAGTGAACTCACAGGTGTGGACAAAAGAAAAAGGTGAACTCTCTGTTTGTGTATATGGTTGTCCCAACCAGGGGAGTATAAATGCGAACCTCATGCTGGATGATTGAGTATCTTTATTCATTTCTGTGTCTCCTTCAGAGCCCTGAACCATTCTTTGTGCTTTTTAAGGTCATTCAGCAAACACTTATACTCTACTATGCACAGGGCACTCAGCCGCAAAGATTAAAAAACAAACAAACGTGAGAGTCCCTGCCCTCAAAGAGCTTACTGTCTACTCGAGGAGGGATATGAGGTACATAAGTGTAATACATACAACCTCAGATGTGGTGAGGACCAAGGAGAGAGGCAAAGCGCCATAAGGAAATTAGAAAATTCTGGTGCTTTTATCTGGAGGGACTCAGGAGTGTTTTCAGGGAAAAAGGGGACCCTTGAGCTGGGAAAGTGGGTTTATTTTTATTCAGTGCCCTGCACATAGTAGGCTCTCAACAAATAAGTGAATGAATGAACTAACCAGTGAAGTGCCTGCCCCTAACAGGGCCCTGTTCTGAGAAAGGATCCCTTTTACTCAGGGTGGCTGGTCACTTGCCCCTTTATCTCTCCCCCTCCTGCAGCCTCAGCACCAGGGATGCCTTCAGAGCTGTCTGTCTCCCTCCTCCCCCCTTCCCTCCACTTCTGAGGCAGGCTGCCACGTCTTCCTGCTCTACCAGCACAGTCTCTCCCCACCACTTGCAAACCTCCCTTTGCCCTCATTCCCCCTATGGCCCCGTGCCTGGGCCAGCTGCCCGATGGGTCTGTGCCAACAGAAACAGCTGAGAGTCACCTTTCCCTCCGTGGGAAGCAGAGAGCTGCCTGGGCCCTTCCTGCAATGCTGTGTCATGGTTCTCACTGGGCCCTGTGAGCCTGGGAGAGGCCTGACAAACATTCAAACACTAGCTCTCTCTCTCTCCATTTTCTCTTTCTCTCCCTCCATTCTCTCCCCCTTCCTGTCTCTCTCTCTCTCTGTCCTTCATTATCTCTCCATTTTCTCTTTCTCTCCCTCCATTCTCTCTCTTTCTCTCTCCCCATCTGTCTCTCCTCTCTGTCTCTGTCTCTCTGTCTCTGTCTGTCTCTCTCCATTCTCTCTCCTCCTCTGTCTTTCTCTCTCTCAATCTCTCTCTCTCCTCTCTGTCTCTGGCTGTCTCTGTCTCTCTGTCTCTCTCTGTGTCTGTGTGTGTGTGTGTCTCTCTCTCCCTCCTCTCTGTCTCTGTCTCTGTCTCTCTCTCCCCCCTCTACTTTTTTCCTCCGTCCTATTTCCATTCTCTCTTTCTCTCCTTCCATTCTCTCCTCCTCTTCCTCCTCTCTCTCTCTCCTTCATTATCTCTCCATTTTCTCTTTTTCTCTCCCTCCATTCTCTCTCTTTCTCTCTCTTCCCCTCTGTGTCTGTCTGTCTCTGTCTCTCTCTCCCTCCTATCTCTATTTCTGTCTCTCTCTGTCTTTCTCTCTGTCTCTCTCTCCCTCCTTCATCATTTCTCCATTTTCTCTCTTTCTCTCCCTCCATTCTCTCTCTCTCTCTTTTCCCCTCTGTCTGTCTCTCTCTGTCTCTGTCTCTCTTTCTCTCTCCTCTCTGTCTCAGTCTCTCTTCCTCCTCTCTGTCTCTGTCTCTCTCTCCCCACTCCACTTTCTCTCTTTCCATCCTCTTTCCATTTTCTCTCCTGCCAGGCTAGCTCTGTACCCCCTCCTTCTCAGCTGTCTCTGCACGGAGTTGACAATGCATCTTTGTCGACTTGAATTAAATTTCAGCTCTTCTTTCGCTGCTTTAAGACAGCATGGAGGGGCAGCTAGGTGGTGCAGTGGATAGAGCACCAGCCCTGAAGTCTGGACTCTGACCCATACCGGCTGTGTGACCCTGGGCAAGTCATTTAACTGCTCAGTGCTCTAGGCAATTCTCTAAGACTATAAATTGCAGAGAAGGTGCTGCTGACTTGCGTTGGTAGAGAAGTTTCCTTACCTGGGAGTTCTTTATATTAGTGAAATCCTGGCTTTCATCTCTATTCCCCTATGGGGCGCTGTAGCTGGGCCTGGAGTCAGGAAGACCTGAGTACAAATCTGGCCTCAGGCACTTCCTAGCTCTATGCCCTGGGCAAGTCGCTTCACCCTGTTTGCCTCAGTTTCCTCATCCATAAAATGAGTGGAGAAGGAAATGGTAAACCACTCTAGTATCTTTGCCAAGGAAACCCCAAATAGGGTCACGAAGAGTCAGACGTGACTGGAATGACTGAACAGTAACAAAAACAGCCTTGAGGAGAGTGGAAGATGGCAGGCTTCTTCTGCCCAGTGCTGCAGAGCCTATGCTTGGAAGAGTTCTTGCATTTCCTCTTTCCCAGCCTAGCAGGACCAGTAAGAAAAGGAAGAATACATCTCAGAAATTGTCATGGAAAGCAATGGGAAAATGCATTTCATTTCTAGAAATTTTGTCTTACAGAGTTTTTCAGGAACTTTTCTATTCTAGGAATCAAGGTTCATCCTTATAAGTGGATAAGGCTATGACCTAAAAAGTTGACATCAGACAGACCTAGGCTCAAATCTCACCTCTGACATCCACAGGCAACAGTGCCCCGAGACAGCTGGCCAACACAGTAAATTGCAAAACTTAGAGTAAATGCTGATCTGTCAGTCAGTCAACAAGCATTTATTAATAGCTAATAGTTTAACAATAGGGGCTCCTAAATGATGGAGTGGATAGAGCACTGGGCCAGGAGAACCAAATCCAGACTCAGACACTTCCTAGCTGTGTGACCTTGGGCAAGTCATTTAACCCCTATTTTCCTCATGGATCACTGCCCTGTTGTGGTGGTAGTTATCACTAGCTGACAAAGGTGATCCCCTGGAAAAAGAAATGGTAAACCACTCCAATATCTTTGCCAAGAAAACCCCATGGACATCTGGCTCATAAGGTCATGAAAAATCAAACAACAAATAGTTAACAATTGTATAGTGCCTATTGCATTATAGGCAATGCACTTTACAATTATTGTCTCACTTCATCCTCACAACCACTCTGAAAAGTACGGTCTATTATTATCCCCATTTTACAGATGAGGAAACTGAGGCTGAGATTAAGTGACTTGTCTAGAGCTAAACATTTATAGTAAAGCCAGATTTGAATGCAGTTCTTCCAAGACCAGGTCCAGCCCTCTAGCTACAGCGCCACCTAGAGGCCTTTTAGCCTAGTAAAAGACAAGACTCAAGGACAGTGGTTTTTTGAACTGGTTAATCCTAGAGTCTAGGTTGTGAAGGGGTTAAATGACTTACCCAGAATCACACAGCTAGCAAGAGGCTGAGGTTGAATTAGAATTCAGGTCTTTCTGGCTCTATCCACTGCACCGCCTAACTGCCCGTGTGAGTGCTGACTATGTGCTGGGTACCATGCAAAGCACTGGGGATAAAAGAAAGACAATCTGGGAGCTCTCCACATTAATGAAATCACATGTCTGGTTTTTTAAAAAGGCTTGGTCAGACTTCATTTTTCTGCAATGTCTGGAAAAGCTTTGGCACTTAGAAGATTGATATGTAATCAGAACTAGAGCTGTGGATTCCTGTGAACTCAGCTTCAAGCTTGAAGGTTTGTCAATAATTCCTTCTCTACATAGAGTAAATAAATACTCCCAACCCAGAAAGTCCCAATCA